TTGCGCTGGTTGGACCGCCAGTCTGCTGCTCTCTCCTCCCCCTTTCTCTCTCTTCCATTCTCAGCGGTGATGGCCCTCCCCCTACTTTCCTGCCCCCCCACCTCTCTTTCTCTCCATCAGCTTCAGATGCAGGCCATACTATTCCCTTCCTCGCTGCTCCTCTTTGATGGTGAGCTGAGTTGTAGACTTAGCAGAGATGAGAGTCTGTTTCTGGCAGAGCTTGACTGAAGATGGAGGGTGACAGAAGATTAGAGGCACAGAGCTGCACACGAGCTGCAGCCTGATGCAGAAACAGTGCCAGACAGACAAAACAGCTGTACACAGAGCTAGTATGTCTACCCTGAATTTACATACAGCACTCACTCATCTTATTTTAGTCTGTAATTGTCAGTTATTGTAGAAGAAGCTTCTCCACACATAAGTTAACATCAAACACAGATCACAAGCTACATGATGAATAGCATGTATACCACCTGCAAAAGTCAGGCCGTCTTGTCAGAACACGCAGTCAAATGGGGGCAAGATGGTGGCTCAGATGCTCAGGTAAGTGGAGGCCCAACTGGACAGCTAGTATCGCTCCACATAAGGCAGAGCTGCATCACTTGTGGAAACAAGCACTTCGAACCATAAACAAGGACAAAGTTCTGGCTGTTTCCACAGCCTCGGCCCCTCTTGAGCATTCGATGCCATCATCTCACCGAGAAGCACCAGCTGCGGTTACTGTCAGGGCACAAGGGAACGCGCTTTATTCACATTACAGATTCCTGCACAACCTTCCACAACAAACAAACATCAGTACTGTTAATGAGAAGCTGGTATATATTACATTTTACTTGAGTACTGTATATCCATCCATCTTCCAATCGCATATCCTATTCCGAAGCCAACGCAGCACTAAAAAGGTGTATAGCCAGAACAGGATGCCAGTCCATCACTGGGCACTCTTATTCTCCATGTCAGTGGTCTACAGAAGGGGTGTCAAATTCCAGTCCTGGGGGGCTGGAGCCCTGTGTAGCTTAGTTCTCCCTCTGTTGCACCACAAATGATTCAGTGTGATGATGATGTGTGATAATTAGCACAAAGAGTTGCAAGGAGTTGAATCGGGTGTTAAATGAGAGGAATCCCAAAAATGCGCAGGGCTCCGGCCCTCCAGGACTAGGGCTTGACACCCCGGCCCTACAAAAAGAAACTAGAGTTTGTGCAACAGTAGGAGAACATACAAACCACAGATGTGAGGCAGGCGTGCTCCTGAGAATTTACTTCATCGGTTCAGTTTGGAAGATAAATGAATGTGTGTATGCCAACAGCTCAACAGAAGGACATCAATGACCTGCCTGCATTCCCCACAATACGGGTGAGGAGAAATGTTTGGCAGATGGATGGATGGATGGAATATAAAAAAGTATGTGCAAGCATATGCATTATATACAGTCATGCGCCGCATAACGACGTCAGATATACAGTGGTGGTCCATGAGATTTTAATGGAGCTGAAAACTTTCTATCACCTAGTGACGTTGTAGCACAATGCATTACTCACGTTTGGAGTGATACTGGTATAAAGAAACCTACTGCATTGCCAGTCCTATAAAAGTGTAGCACATACAATTATCTAGAGTACATAATACTAGATAATGATAATGACCGTTACTGGTTTATGCATTTACTATACCATACTTTTTACTGTTATTTAGGCTACACCAGTTACTCTAGGTGTGTAGTAGGCGACACCATCTAGGTTTGTGTAAGTACACTCTATGATGTTTGCAGAACGACTCAATCACCTAACGACGCATTTCTCAGAACGTATCCCTGTCAAGTGACGCATGACTGTAAATATCATTTAGCAGTACATGCAATTTACTCTTAAACAGAGAATAATAAACTTAATTGCTCTGCTTCCTAATTTGTGTTACCTTTTAAATTTACTTTTCATAGAAAACATACAGAATAACACTTTCTATTGAACGGTAATGTCCTTGCACCTTATGTCAGACTTCCAAACTGTCAAAACTGAATGTAACCGCAGACAAGCGGGTTTCTGGTTCAAAGCTGAAAATATTTTCTGCAGTCATCCCACCCAAATGACATTAAAATGAAATGTTCTATCAATGGGTTTCATTACTGAATGAACAAATAATTGAAATACAAAAGTGCCTGTGTATATCATACATACATATGGCTAATGGCTTCAGCAATATCACCAAGAGAGAGACAGTGCACTTTAATCATACAAAATGTAAACATGTGGTCATTAGGATTCAACGCCACCAAAAAGTAATCTACAAAGAAAATGAAGTTTGACTAAAAGCAGACTTTCTCAAATGTCAATTACTTACGTGCATTGACATTTGCTGAAATGTTAATTTTTCTGACCATTAGAGTAAAAAAAACACTGACTCTTTTTTTATCATAGCATTACTTCCAAGATTTTCTATTTATAAAACCATATATTTCTCAATAGGAATATTTCAGCCTAGAGATTCAGGGGGCATGTACATAGTGATGACCTGCATGTCACTATAGCTTCAGGGGATTGTGTGCATTGTGATCATCCACATGTCACTATAACTTCAGGTGGTTGTGTGCACCGTGATCACCCGCATGTCACTATAGGTTAAGGGGGGGGGGGGGGTGTGCATAGTGATCACCCATAAGTTATAGCTCAGACTCCAGCAGAAAGGGTGAGCGGTGGAGATGTGCTCAAAGCCGGGGCCCTTTGCAGGGGATGGACTGCTGACACTAAGAATGCACTGTTTGGCAAAGCATCCCTCACACACATGCAGGTAGTGAATCTCCCTACATGTGCCGTGTGTATCAGCAACACTCAAATTAAAATTCTTCCAAAATGGTGAAGACAGTATTTTGGTCCTTTTGAGCAGCAGTTGGCGCTCTTGTGCCATCTTACTCTCCTTTTCCTCTTTTGCCGGTGTCCTCATTATGAAAAAAGCTGTTCTACTTGCCTTCAGAGTTAACCCCTCACTTGTGCCAAAGGAAGCAAAAGTGGGTCATGGAAAGGGAGGGGGGAGGAGGTGGGGGGAGGGATGGAAGATGTGAAGAGATACCATATCTGACAAAAGAGAAGTCAAGCAGTGTAGATATGGAGGTCAAAAAAGTTTGGAGTTAGACAGCTAAAGTCACAAAAACCAGGGGCGGGCATTAAGTGCACATCCATACATGACTAAACAAACTTTTAGAAAGATCTTTAATTTTTATTATGACTTAATATTATTTTACAGCATAATATTAAAAGATTTTTTTCTCTGTAAAAAATCCAGTTTCCATTTAAAAAACGATCTTTATATACACCAGGGAACTTCTACCAGAAATAGTATGAGAAAACCTCTGTAGTAAATTTTCTCACATTAACAAACAGACAATCAATGATATATTAATGTTATATATTAAAGCACCGTTTATTAAAAAAAAGACATATTGAAATGAATGGGCTGTTCCTGTTCTGCCTAGCTTACCACACACATGTGAGATCCGGACCATGCTGGCCTCTCTTATTAGCATCGTTGCTGCTTTCATCCCGTCAAGTATCAATCAGGTACATATCAAGGTATTTGGGAAAAAAACAAAAAACGCACAGATCCACATATAACAGAGCCTCAGGTGAACAACTGTACAGAAAGAGCAGATTTTGTATGTCACGTTGAGATGATATATATCTGCTGTACCAGCAGGCTTCTGTTCCATGACACCCCTCCCAAGGAGCTGATATGAATCAAGAACAAACACAACATAAGCAGTACACGGCCCTAGCCACAGAAATAGAACATACCAAGACATTTAAAACCCTGCTGCCCTTCTCTCACATGTGGAAACACTGTGCTTCAATCTGTGAGTTGTCATAAGCTCACAAAGCAAGCAGTATAGGTTGCAGAAAATGAATCCAGTATGAGGCCTCTGATGCTGTCTCACAATAACACTTCTGAATTCCCCTTCAACTGCCATTCACAAATACGCAATTTCTCTGGAAACCTTCCTTGGAATCTTAAAGCCTACAAATTTACACAAGGTGTACATTTATATTAGCATCAAGTACTCTTTCAGTTCAGTTTGGAAAGGCAATGCGCAAACAGTGTGCCCTCAAACAGAGACGAACATATTGTATAAATGAAAATTGTACAACTAGGCTTAAGATTTCAATACAGTACAAATATTCACTAAATAGCACATCAGCACCCCCATGTGCCTTACATGTGCTATTACAAAACCAAGTTAAATAAGAACATTTCATTTTTTATATTAAAAACACCTTCTTTACTCTTACAAACAAATTTTCCAAGATCACAGAGGAGATCATATACGTTTTGGGAGAATAAAAATGTAAAAAGTCCCACTGAATAAACAGCAGCTGCTGTTAACCAGCTTTGCCCTCACCCCAGGTTCTGGTGAAACAGCAAACACATAGAGCAGGGGTCTCAAACTCCAGTCCTGGAGGGCAGGAGCCCTGTGTGGCTTAGTTCTTTCCCCCTTCTACCACAAATGATTCAGCTCAAGAGCTGTGTGGTAATTAGCACAAGGAGTTGAACCAGGAGTGTCAAATGAGGGTGAACCAAAAACTGCGTAGGGCTCCAGTCCTCCAGGAATGGAGTTTGAGACCCCTGACAAAGAGACAGAAACAGGCAATGTACCGCTTTAAAAGTGTCATTTTAAAAAATTCAAATACTATTCCCTAACATTTTCGAAATAGAATGGCTCAGGCAAACTGTCAAATGATGAACCTTGTTAAAGCAACATCAACTCCTAAACCACCTGAAAACAAATATGTGAACTAAAGAATTGCAACAGCTCAGCAAAACGTACCACTACATCAGTCTGTATACTGTAGGTCTAGATCCACAGATCCCTCCGTTACAACAAGTCTTAACCTCTTGGGTCTCCTGTCTGGGTGGGGGGGAATCAGGGAGTGTGAAAACGTGGGGAGGGAGCAGGACCCTGAGTGGGGAGGATGGGCTACAGTAGGGCCAGGCTGATGCACATCCTTCCTACCATGTGCGTCCCTCCGCATCGCTTCCTTGCTTCCCACACCAGCAATGTTGCCTACAGAGAAACAAGGTGAATAGTTTGAGGACTTTGGCCCACATGGCTCAAGGACTAGCCTGCCTTGCGTTCCAGAAGGCTCCATCAGGCAGCGGTAGGTGCAATTTGTAGCTGCTGCACCTGGATAGTTCAAATATTCCCTTCCATCCTTGTAACCCAGGGTAACAGTGTGGTCGCCAGTGATGTTGAAAACATATGGAGAAGCCTGACAAAAAGAGCTGGACTGAATCTTACTAACAGGTACCTGTGGTACAGAGTCATGACTGCAAACTGTTTGAGGGCTGTTATTCTGGGATGATGTCTGTGGTTGGTCCATAGACACAGATGGACTATAGGTGAAATTTGAATGTTCAGAGCGTACAAAGGACGGGGCCTTGGAAAAAGGCAGTTGGTGTTTGTCTGAACACGAAGACAGTTCACAAGCAAGACGGACATTTTCAGCATGCAACAGTGTTTGGGATTTGTCCTGGATTGGACTTCGATTATGAGATAAACAGTCATTAGCAAGCGGACTAGAAGAAATAAAAGACTTATGGAAAGGGGAGAGTGTTTTACCTGATAAATTACAGGAATGAGTTGATTTAACAGATAGGGGTTTCTCAAAAATTACTGCATCTTTACTGGATGTCCGATATACTGGCTGACCTTTTTCACTATGAGAGAGAGATTTGTTTGGGAATTTAGGCGTCTCAAAATTAACTGATACTTTTCCCATATTAAAATCATATTGTGACAAGCTACCTTGACGACAGGCAACATTGGAAGATGAAACATTGTAACAGGGACGATTTTTTCCTAGATCAAAATATCCTGTTTTTGTGCTTTGCGTCTTAGTATGCAGGTCTGCATTTTTTATGGCTGTTCCATTCAGCCAGGAATTTGCACAGAAATTTTGATCCTGTCGACCACAATAACTTTTAACAGCGCAGTTTTGGTTATGCAAAACACCTACATTTTTATCATGCACACAGAATACATCCCCCCGGTTCACAGTGTTCATTTGTGAATAAAACACAGAATTGTTTGCTGTAGTCAAAGGGTACGACTTCATGGTTTGATTCTGTGTCCCAGAGCTGTACAAGCCAGCTGCAATTTGACTATTAGTAAAATATTCTGGTTTGCCTGTAGAATTAGGCGTGCTCAAAGGCGCCAAGGGCTTGTCTTGCACAAATGACTGGACTTTACCACAATCTGAGTGGATGGAATCTCCTCTGGAGTAAAAGTAATCAAGAGGATTGTGTTGAGTAGCCTGAGAGAGGGAGTTTGAAGATGTATGCCTAGAACTTGGTGCTGCGTCAAATAATTCTCTGTTGGAGTACTGATTTCTTCCAGTGAAAGGAAGTGACTGCATGCCTGAATCCTGCTTCATGTACGCCAGTTTATTTCTGTCCAGAGAGCTATTTAACAGCACTGCATTTTTCTGAGTGACAGATTCAAGAGGAGATGAAAAACCAACATTTGACGTGCTTAGAGATGCTGTATCTTTTGTGGAGCTCAGACCCTCATTCAGAGTGAGAGACTCATTCTTTGATGAACAGATATCAGAGAAACTTTGAAATTCTCCTCCTGGGCTGAAATGACTTCCAGGACTAGGTGTATCGAGATAAGATGTTTCTGCCTGCCATGTCTCAGATGTGGCCTGTGAGAATGGACCACTGAAAGACTGGTTTTCTTCTTCCATGGGGCAAAAATCTGTTAAAGAGCTTTGGAGGTGGCTTTGTGGAGGCATCTCATAATATCCTTCTAAGTTTAAGGACTGGAAATCAAGAACATCCTCACAACAGTGAGTATTACTAGAATCGGCAAGAGGGAGAGAATTCTCTGAAAAGAAAGGTAAATCTTGAGATTTTGGCTGTAGCTGAAATGAGGTAGAATTTGTTTCAGTAGGGAAATCATTGTAAGAGGAGCACAAAGGGTTTGCCACCTTCACTGTGGAGAAAACAGACGCGCTGTTCACATTAAGCATATGGCTAGGACAGCTGGTTCTCTTTTGCTCCTCTGTTCTCCTCCACCATTTTCTTGATGGAGGTTTTCTTACTCTGTTCTTGGTTTTTTCAATTGCTCTCCTCGGTAATCCTTGCCATTTTCGTCCAGGTTCTTCATTCATGCCATGAGGAGAATGGAGAGAAACAGGTGAGAGTGGGACAGAGGAAGAATCTGCTTTTGCAGACTTCATTAGGACTCTCCTTGGTTTGTTTATAAAGGATGATGAGTCAACATTTTTAAGTTCATGGTAGTTCACACGTACAGTATATGGTCGCTCTAGCACATCCTGACCAAAGCTTATGCTAGTCCTTGAAACATCACTCTTTTGTTTATGGCCAATTAAGTCCACAGTCCATTCACCTTCAGGTTTTCTTCGTAGTCGTATTCTCAGTGAGTGATCCTCTTTATCAATATTCAAAAGGCCTTGGTCATCACCCATGTCCATTGGTTCTGTCTTACACTTTTTTATTCGTTCTTTACCCTTAATGTCACAGTCTTTGACATGTTTATCAGACACTTCATTTTCATAAGACCTTCCAATTATTTTTCTCTCTAGAACTTTAATTGTTTTAAATTTATGAGTTTTTTTAAGCAGGAGAGATTTTGTTTCCATGTCCTCTGCTTTATCTTTAATTCCCCGAAAAACATTTTCCATTCTGTCCTCTTGCATTTGTTCCACAGCTACTCTACTAGTGTTAGTTTCAATGTTTTTCTTCTCTTTCACCTTGTCAATATTACACCCTGGCTTGAAAACTGCATTCTTTATTCTAAGACTTCCCATGTTGCCTCTTTCCATACTCTGTTCCAGTAGTGCTTCTTCCTGTTCTCCCTTGCAGCAAACATTCCTCTCCTTTTCATTGTTCAAATCAGAGACACAGTCCAGAAGAGATTTAAAAGGTTCTAGCAGTTCAACTTCTTGTGCTGAGCTTTTATTTCCATCCACATCCCTTTCCAAGTTCCTTGCCATCTCCCATTCCTCCCCTTGTTTTCTCTTAAAGCGAAATTTAAAATGTTCTTTCATGCCACATTTGTTTTTTAGGACCTGGTCTGCAGCCTGTTGTTGCATTCCCAAATGCTCTTCACGCCACCTTACTTCCTCTCTCCAGTTTCCTGTCCTCCTGTCAGTCTCTGCAATCTGAGACTCTCCTTCAGGGTTCTCCTCTATTACATCAGTCAGGGAGACCCCAAAACAAGCTGAAGTCCTTTCAGTCCCAGAATCAGCTGCCAATTTGAAGTTTTCCTTCTCAGCTCTCTCACTTTCTTGAGCCAGCACCATTCTTTTTGGTATGACCATTTCTTCAGTCTCCATTCTTCCATGCACCATAGCTTCCTGTATTTTTTTCTCACACTGTCTCTCATGTTCACCTCCTCGATCCCACTCTACCGCTGTTTCCATGTTTCCGAATGCCATCAGGGGTTTTGTTATTTGCCTGTTTGAGTGGATATCTACTTTGCTGCCAGCTTTATTACGTTCTAGTCCTTTTGATTTACCCAATTTTGCCCTTCTCTCTCTCCGTTTTTTAAGCAGCCTCTCCTTTCTGTGTCGACTTACTCGACATTTTAAATGCTTTACTCTAGAATGCAACTTTCTGAAAGCTACACACTCTTTCAAGGGTCCTAAAGTTTTCTTTTTACACCTAATGTCACATGTCACCACTTTAATACCAGTGCCAGAGTCACCATTCAAACAATGGTTTTCTGTCATTTCACCATCCTTTAACCTTGAGCTAACTGCTACTTCAGTTTCTTCATTCAATCCTAAGTCACGTCTTTGATCTGGAAAATTCTCTGCTCCAAGTCCTGTGAGCTTCATTGACAGAACCTCTGAACCAGCAATATTTAACCCCTGTTCAAACTCGGTATCCAATTCTTTTCGAGGAATCCGTTTCTTTAGCGGGACATTAGCCTGGCCTTGTGCCTGTGGATTGGGATCCAAACTTGGTAGACAGTCAGACTTCATAATGGCATGAGGAATAAGTGGCGAAAGAGAAGACTGAGGTGGCTTTGGTTCTTCGGCATCATGTGATGGGAGATGCTCAAAATCATGAAAAACGGGCTGCAGGCTACCTTGGAGCTCAGAGTCTGCCTTGTGAACCATTGATGACTGGCCCTCTTTTGTTTCATCTGCTGGAGGTGTCTGACTCATGTGTTCCCTAGCGGTCTTAATTTTTACCTTACCCTTTTCCATTATCAATTCTTCAAGATCTCCCGCTTGACTGAGTTGTGGACATCCAGCGTTTCCTAGTTTTCCCCTGATCTTGCTGAAATCTTTCACCACCTTTGCCTTCTCAAATACATCACAAAGAACCACCCTCACTTCCTTAACGCAAAGGTTGTGCCCATTCATATCTGCTATTTCTCCATTTTTTTCATCTCTGAAATCTAATACAGATCTTAAATTCCCACTTTCTCTATTTTCAAGACCGGTTTTGTCTGCCCTATTGCCCTCGGTTGCCTTTATATCTGCAGTCTTAAATGTTGCCTTGCAGAATTCCCCTTTCCCATTGTATTGTTCACCCTGTGATAAAACAGCAATTACTTTAGAACCCATTTCACTTTCTATGTTAGTTACATCAGCTGCTCTAAATGACATACCCCTCAACCCTTTCTTACCTTCAAGTCTTCCAAAATCCTTGCCATTCCGTCTCTTAGAGTTCTCCTGTGATCTGGAAACTCTAGTTTTGGTTTCCCTGTCTTCTACTCCAGCGCTGCTCCCTTCTATTTTCTCCATAATCCCTTTCCCATCTCCCTCCGCTGCCTTTTCACCAAGCTTGCATATTTCTAGACCAGACAACCTGACCAGATCAACTGTAACATACCGATTAAATAATGAGAGAAGGGGCTGGTGGCCAGCGGGAAAGGATTCACAGTTGTAAGAACTGAAGGAGGAGGGCAAGGAGCAGGGACCACAGAGATGTGGTTCTAGGGTACACGGTCCATTGCTATCCTGTCTCCCCAAGGAGTTATTTGTGACAACTTTACAAAGCTCAGTTCTTTCGCTGCAGTTATGACTGCTGCCGTGTGAGCATCTGGTAGCTTGGACAGTCCTGTCAGTCCCCAGTATGTGTGCACTTTCACACCTGTTCTTTCTTACATCTGAAGGCTGGCATGTGCCTGCTGCTTGTGGTCCACTGCTCTTAGACTGTCCTCCTCCAGTATATGCTGGATTACTGGCACATGCCACACTACCACAGCACCTACTAACAGGTATGGTGGTGCAGTTTGTGCTCCTCATGGTACCTATGGCTGTAGCTGTGCCATCCCTGGCTGGTAGGGTGAATTTAGTACTACCACTCCCATTTCCACTTCTGCTACTGCTACTACAACTACATACAATTTTGGGTACATAGTCAGTTTTACAAACCGTTAATCCAGAACCAGCACTCAAAGGCCTATTTCTTGTCATGTTCCTAGTTCTAGAAGAGACACTTTCTTGCACACAGAGCAGAGAATCTTCCACCATGTCAAAATGTCCCTTGCTAGGGTTCTTCACAGGTACCACAGAAGAGCCAGGGTGGAGGACAACTGCTGGGGGTGATTCGGGATCAGGACAGCTCTTTTTCTTTTCATCACTTTCGTCGTCCTCTCTGATCAAGGAAACATCATGCTTAATCCCGCTTTCCAGCTCTTCCACTTTTGGCCGTTTGACTAGGCCATCTGAGATGCTTGTTGACTGGTCCACTGAGCAGCGACGCAAACACACTCGCAGGTCCTTGAGCATGATATGTGAGACAGAGGGGATGGTAAAGCTGTACTTCTCTGTTCGTCTCCCTTTCTCATCCGTTTTCCATCTGTTAGTTTTACACAGTTTCATTTTCCTGCTGCTTGGGGAAAACGTATTCTTCTTCATCCCCTGAGAAGGGGGCCCCTTGGAAGCACAAGCTTTAAAATAAAGAGATAAATAGATAGGTAAATAAATACAAATTTATCTGAATTCATACATTTTATATTAAGACCTGAAGAAACGCATTTCTTGAGCTACAATAAGAATTAGCCACATTTAACTGGGAATGGTGTTTCAAGGTCAGACCAGTCTTTTCCTTACTAAAACTGATTTTCTAATATCTTAAGCATTCCTGCTGCTTTTATCACACCAAATACTAATAGAACAAAATGAAGTATAATTTCTTTCCCTAATATTTGTAAGGCAGAAAATGGAAGGTACAAGGATTCAGCAGGTAGCACTGCATTATTAGAAATGTATTCCTGAACGTCCAGAGAATGACCAGCATCCCATTCAGGGTGTCCTGTGCCATGCACCGTGCAGCATCACAAAAACCACTTACCCAGTACAAGACTGAAGGTGTTGTCCGCTGCACTTTTTCTGCACGTGAAACCATTGTGCTAGACAGCCTCACAATGAGACACCTCACAGATATCTTACCCATGCTGCTCAGCGCTAGGGTTGTGCACTGGGTGAAGTTTCCCTTCACCCGACTCAGACGAAGGTCGGTCTCCCTTAGGCTGTACTTCTGGCCAGGAGCATCACTGGGATCTGTATGGACAGTCTGCCTTTTTCTCTGCTTAAAGGAGCCCTCACCTCTCCTTAAAGAAAATTAAGTTCAGTTCAGCTTTGTGACAAACATTATGTGCAATTTTCTTTTAAAGATTTCTTCAGAGTTTTATTGCAATCATAACCATTTCTGCTGTTCTATTAACAGCAAACTTAATCTAGACTAGAGAAAAAGTGCCAAGCCATCTATAGACAACAAAGCCCATAGGACAAGACCAGCAGGAAACAGACCATGCTACCCACGGCTTTCTTGATGCTGTGCCCTCTCACCTCTCACACGTGCAGCATTCACACATCTCGTTATCTTCACCAAAAAAGCTGTCACCATAGTAACAAGTGATCTCTTCCCCAGGAGAAATGGGCCGGACAACTTTCACACATGCACCATACTTGTCACCTGGGACAAACTGAGGGAAACAGAAAACGTACTGAGAAAAAGGGAGAGAGGGGCAGACATTAACCAACAAGATTTAAAGGAGTGATATTGCAAAATGGCATACTTCAGGGACTTTTAGAAAGATTTGCCCATGTGGGGTAAGAAAAACATTATGAACTCAATTAACTTCAAAACTGAACAAAGTTCTGAAACTTCTGAAGCTTAATGACAAGATCCAACATCCAGAATTGTAGATTTTACTTTTATGACCATCAAGTTCAATATACAGGCCATGTGCTATGAGATGCAGTCCTCTCTTATGCTTATGCATTTTGCTGACTAGCGATCGAACTGCAGCCCAGCAACAGATTCCTTACTTGGCTGAAATCACAGATGACATATTTAACTGGTTACTAACAGACTGGAAATGAGAATTATTCAGGATAGTCCTGCACTTCAGACTGCATGCAGAAGCTAATGAAAAGGAAGCCTCTTTCCAATAAGGAACTACAGCCACTCAGTATGTTAACATGCATTTACATTTAATTGGACTACCATCCTTGTCCCATTATACATGCACGGGAGGGGAATCGATGTATTGAACGAAGTAGACTCCGCTACAATAGGTGGCGATAAGGCTCCTTTCAGCCGGTTACTATTGGGCTTTTTCCCAGTAGACCTATTACGTCACAGACATAAAAAAAATTATAAAATTAATAATAGCGGGTGTGTGGACAAATGAAATGACAAGCTCTAATTGCGATCTGGTCAGAAGAACAGATGTAGTGAGATCACGGTATCGGATTTTTTCCCCAGATACTGCAATGTGATTTTGTTGCAATAAATATTGGGGTATTTATGAGACAAAAAAGGTGGCGTTCAACATAAAATCTCTCACAAACCCATCTAGGAGTGAATTAAACAGCAAGGATGAAAATGATTGTCTCGGAGAAGGCATGCAGCGCTCATACACAAGCAGCAGAGAGTGTTTAAACTGATTTTTTAAACATATACTAGATAATCTTGAAAATGAGTAATTATTAAAATTCCAAAACCTGCTATGTGTTTTTCCTATAACACTGTAAAAATGTTTCAGCGAGACTTAAACTCCCTGTGCTCTGATATCCGAACCAAAGAAAAAGCCTGATCTTAATTTAGTCGACTAGCAATGCAAGAATTCGATGTGCATAACATGTGATGTTGGGGTTGATATTGGACATTGTCCAGCAATATAAATATACTACAGCCATTTTTCAAATTCAGCACAAAATACAGTGTTCCTCATGTTATTATGTCATTCAGCACTGGTACTAGTTTTTACGCCAGTGAAAAACCAACACCTTAAAAGTACCGTACTTTTGATACCTTGAAGTACCAAAAGTACGGTACCTGGTGTGGTGGAAAAGTGCCCTTTGGTTGAGCTGTGAATTGGACAGATTTACAGTGCTGTATATTTCATATGTGCTGTACGTCCTCTGCTATGCTCCATGCTTCTTCTGTGTACTGGCGTCTTCTGTTACTTCCGGGTCAAAGTCCGGGGGGAGAGACTGTGGAGCACGCGCAGAGGGCCTAGGCCAGTTTGAGTCCATTTGAACGTATACATGCAGGAGTAAATTGACTCCCAGTCGCATTATCTGGGTGTCTTAGTCCGACTTTTGGAAGTTCAATTTAGTATGATTTCAGTCAGACTAACAAATTCACATGTACTTTAAAACTCCAGTTTGAGTCAGACTAAACACAATAATTTGATGTGCATGTATGTAAGCATACTGACTGGGACGGCAGCTCCAAATTGTGTCTGCAAATGTTTATAGTGGCCGCCAATGCAGAAACCGAAAAAAAAAAAAGAAGCATATTTATAGCCTAGTCCTTTATACGGCAAAATCAAGATAACACAAGAAAAACAGAAAAGACCCTGCTGACAAGGTTCTTACCTTACAGTTTGGTCTGCAGTCTTCACACCACAAAGAGATAAATTAGTGGTTAAAAAGGGTATGTTCACCATATTAGCTTTAAAACAACAAGCAGCACTTAAATAAAGACTACGAAAGAACGCAAAGACCCACAGATCACTAACATGACATGACTTACTTCACATATTAACTTCAGACTGGAGAAAGTGACCTGTACCTCTGAACATGACCAATTAATCACTACAGTAAAACCTTGGATTGCGAGCATAATTCGTTCCGGAAACGTGCTCGTATACCAAAAGCAAAAAGGTATATCAAAGTGAATTTTCCCATTAGAAATAATGGAAACTTCTTATGATTTCGTTCCACAACCCAAAAATACTCATATAAAAAATATTAATACAAAAAGTAAAATAAAAAAAATTAACCTGCACTTTGCCTTTGAAAAGAATCGTGGATGATGTGAGGGAGAAGACAGAGGGGAGAAGAGGAGGGTTATACTGTAGGGCGACTTTCACTGCCATCTTTTTCTTTTTGTGCGACTAACAAGGAACCTATCCAATGACAGCGATTTTTTTGCCTCCTTTTCGATTTTGCGGAAATGTGGACATTGCATTGTCGTTAAGCAGATTCATCGCTCACACTGCTACACCCTTATCTGGGTGGTGTTTTCTACTAAATTTTGACTATACCAGTGAGGCACACCGACAGACCGAGCATGGGAAACAATTACCCACAATCCCGCAGCGAAAGAGAGAGAGAAGAACCATCGGCTCAGTGACGCTAAGCAGACAAAGCATATACATAATATTCGATAAACGAGCGAGGTCTTGCAATACGAGTTAAAGTTTATTAAAAATTTCGTTCGTCTTTCAAAACACTCGCAAACCAAGTTACTCGCAATCCGAGGTTTGACTGTATTTTATATACTTACCTTAGACAGACTAAAGTAACACTATTACAGTATCATGCTCAACTTAATATTAATATAAATGTAAGTGCTTCATGGTTAACTGATGTACAACAGAAGCATTTTACTAAACCATAGCGAAGAGGAAGCTAAAGGGAGTGAGAAGAGCCTGACCGTGATTGATGAAGGCAGCAGGGCCCAGCCACAGCTGAGCACAGCGCTTGCGGGTGGAGTACATCACACTGAAATCATTTACGCCAGCTCGGAGAACCGCACTATCAGCTGCACTCAGCTCTGCAATACATCCCTGCAAGACCTCCACGTGTTCACCCACCAACCTGCAGAAGACATGTGACCGTGAGGTGCTGGCACGCAGGCACACAGACAAGCACACCAAGGTCCCTGACTCACCAATGTCGTGTTGAAGTGATCTTGGCTCCATTGGTTTCTGATGAGTAACGGTCACATGATTCAATTTGAACACCACTGTCCATCAAAAAGGCACTGAGATAGCGGTACACCTGAGAAAGGAAGGAGCTTTTATTCAATAGAGAGAACACACTGCTACTTGTATAAACCTGGTACGTGCTGTAGTTTGGGTCAGTGAGAGAATTGCCGCTTGGAAACGTTGCCTGTCTGCTTAGTGTGAGAGAGACACTCACATGCTGTCTCAGCAGCTCCTGCCGGTGAGAGCCCAGCTCCGCAAAGTAGCCCCAGGCCCAGTCCCCCACCGTCAGTGCCTCAAAGGTCGCCTGGAAGTCATGTGTCCGTCGGAAGCGCTGCAACGTCTCCCTGAGGTAACCCCAGCGGCGGATTTCTGGTGGAGGACTGCAAGAGAAATTTAAGAGAATCAAAACCCACTCATACTTCATGTCTTATCAAGCACAGGTAGAAATACACCATAACTAAAGAGCAGGGCCTTTCGTGTGCTAACCTAATGTCACACAGAAAAGTGACGATTCTGTACCTGATATTCATCTTGTGGGTGCTGAAGCCCAGCAGTGGGTCCAACACGAGGCTGGTGGCCAGGTCATCGATCTCACACAGCTCTCGGACACTCATTCTACTACACCCCTCCATCTCCACCCTCCATCCACATACTGCAAGGAATCAGCAAAAAACAGTCAACATGCCATTCCTAATCCAGGTCTGCATTATGTCAGTCATAAGTATTTCTGTCCACAAGTAATGTTTCCACTGAAACCCAGGAGAAATGCCATGCCATCTTAAAATAGCACAGTGCAACAAATAATAAAAAACATGCATAATATTATAGACAGTTGCCGTAAAGCATTCAGAGCAGCAAGAGTACTCTTTTAAAGCTGAGATCAAATATACCTGTTACTTAATATGCACTAGTACAGGTGCTATTCCGCCAGTGCCCCACCATAGTTGCTAGCTTGAATTTAATTGACCTAGTAATTATTCTTATGAGAATGCAATTTACATCACTGTTCATTTCCAGGAAATGAACAACTAACCCTTAAGTATGTTCCCCTCACAAACACTGCGACTGTCTGCTTAAATTGAACAAGTAGCCGTGTTTTGCAGGAAAATCACAGATGCCCAACAGCATCCCTCGTGTTCAAATTTTTTCATACAAACGCCCGCCGTCCCTGTCTGTCTCTCACAGTCCTGTTAGGCTCTACCCGGGCCGGGTCCGTCGGTACCACGCAGAGAGGGGAGCGTGTTTGTGTGACCAAAACGACACTCAAGCGCTCAGATCACTCCATGCATCAGCTGAATCTCAGCTGGTGCTGAGGTCGCTCAGTGGGGCCACAGATGTTAACACTTCGTGGTGGAAAATTAGCATCGTTTCTGTCAAAGTACCTAAACCAGGCAAAATACGGCGGACGGAGCCGTTTTTCGGGGAAACAGACCGCTGACTGCGAAAAATAGGAAAGCGGAAAACAGGGCGCAGCTTATGATGAACGGAAAATAAAGCTTCGCGGGCCGACGGAAAAGCGGTGCCCCGGGTGCCGGGGCGGCTCCGCCTCGACGGTTATTCTTTCGAAATTTCTGGGCGACCCGGATCCGCGCGCAGACAGCTGGCGAGCTCGCTGACTAGCTAGCCCCGGACAACCGTATCTGACAGGCCGTGAGGTTTGGGATAAGACCGCAAAATCACAAATCAAAGAGAAAACACAGAACCGCGCTTTGCACCTAACAATCCAGAGCAAAACACAGAAAGAATCTCAAAGGCAGTTCGAGTATTTAAATCCAAAAGTTTCATACCCTTGCGCCGTCTAACAGAGTAAGCTTTATTTTTTTATCTTCTCGTCGACGTAATAGCCATCACTCCTGTCCCTGATGTTGATTGGTCAGAATGGACTTCAGTTTATTTAACAGCAATACAATTGGCTAACCGCTCAAGTTCCCGCCCCAATTCTCGCGCAACAGGGTCGGGTTTTATTTGCGTTGATTTGTGGTTACCTGTACTAAATAGTAACTGTTGCATTTTCGGATTCGGATTCGGATACTTCTAGCACAGCGCGAATCCTAAAGGCAGTTTTGGCTGATTTCCTTCTCACACTGATTTAGAGCGGTCGCTGGTACAAAATGCACGAGTAAAACTGTCGGTACATGAGCGAATGCTAATAAGCGCTTGATCTAATATTTATGAAACTAACAGCAGGATTCATGACCAGCGTGCTTGCATGTAATTTCAGAAGCACTTTTCTTAATTTAATTGTTCTTTGACTGTATGCGGCCATGTATCACACTCATTACTATAATAAGTTGTCTTTGTTTACATCATTATGAATGAATGATGTTTATTTCAAATTCCAATTGCAGTTCACCAACACCGCCTGTAGAGCATACCATATACGGTTCTTTCCTCTGTAATATGTTTTAGTCGTTCTCAGTCCCCATAATCTACACAATAAACACTTTCAGTATCTGAATATGAAACAATTTCAAAGAGATATCTTTAATGCGATTTTATGACATGGGAGCTGTGTAACGGTTTCGTAGTAGGGGTGTTGTAGAATTTTTGTGCGCGAATAGGTGTTTCATTATCATAGACATTCTGCGCGAGGTTGCACTATAATACGGTACAGGAACAATGGCGTCTATGTAATTCAGAATTTCAGAGGCGCAGATATACGCATGTATACGCTGCTTTACGGTACATATATTTGTTTATGTGCGTGTACAAGCTACTTTACGGTAGAGAATAATATGGTCGCCTCATGTGTCACTATTCGCCGCTGAGCGCTGCGTGTCAGTACAGTCTAGAATTTTCCAGATATTGCTATCTTTAAATAACAGGATCACGTACAGTCACTGTAGTGTACCTTTATTCACAGGAGCGATTTGAGTGTGGTTGCGCCGTACTTTGGTGAGCAGATTGCGATTGTCGGTTTCTTGTTCATATGTACGCTATAGTTGAAGGTTTCTAATGTTTTCTCCGGTGATGTACCACAACGGATATTTGCAGACGCAGATAATGACTGATGCATCGCGCACATGACTGTGTGCGATGGTGGTTACAGCGACTGCTGACATTATACCCAATAACTAACCTTATTTACTGTGACAGTCTATTTGCTGTTAGTTGGTTAAGTTAGTTGACTCACACTACCATGCCTCCATACGTAGAGATGCACACTACTGTACAAGTGTAAGGCCACTACTGTGTGGTGTCCATGCTGGCCTGTACTATGCTCTCATAGTACTGGTATCAGGTGCAGATGTGTCTGGTCAGTGCTGGGCAGCTGAGGGTGTGGGTTGATGTGGTTCGTTGCCTTTTCTATGCGTTTAGGGGACAATGGCAGAGGGCAGTGGCCAGAGACAGCATCCTCGCAACTTGCAGGGCATCCTGCGCATGGCTGTAGAGGCGGGCTCCGCTTCTGATGGACCAGCCCCCCAGCAGGCCATGTCAGAGGAGGTATGGCACACCGGCGCGGTCGTAGTTACAGCCCCTCCGAGTCAGCTGGGTTGACTTGCTTGCTGCTGTTGGTTCTCAGTCTCTTTCCCCCTCCCTCCTCTAGAGGAAAGCATGGCTGAGGGAAGCTCTCGCTGACATCTGTAAGGGGCAGCAAGATGAGGTGGAGCAAATGAAGCAGTGTCTGTCTATCTTGTGGAGAACCACAGCACGGGAATCACAGGAGCATAAAGAGGAGGAGGAAGAGGAGGAAACAGAGGGGGCACTGGAGCTGCTTTCAGAACTGTGTGAGAACCTGGATAACGCTAGAGGTGAGGAGCAGGGAGACACTGGCGGGTCAGAGCAGCGTGAGTAAGGGGGGCGCTGGCGGGGCGGAGCAGCGTGGGTATGGGGGGCGCTGGCGGGGCGGAGCAGCGTGGGTATGGGGGGCGCTGGCGGGGCGGAGCAGCGTGGGTATGGGGGGCGCTGGCGGGGCGGCCTTTTTTAGTAGGCCAGTGTCTAGTCAAAAGTGTAAACTAAAGAGGAAAAAAAACTATTCTGATTGTACCATTAATTGTCTTTTTTCCAGTTACTTTCGCAATATTGTCTTTTTATTCATTTTTAATATTAATTTTAAATGTTTTCATTTAAATTATATTTCCACAGCTAGTTCTGGCAATAGGTGTAGTTGTCATGAAAAATAATAACCCTGTACCATGCAGTGATCACTAACTGCTATTCTACTACTGCTAACAACATTATAAGGAACTGTGGTTTTGATACACATTTCACATAAGTAATGATATCTCAGCAACAACTCAAAAACCAAAGAACAAATTTTCTGGAGATGTTCATGACATTATGATCTAGCTTTAGTAAAAAATTGATCAATCAGTTTTTTTTGTTATTGAATTTTTAATAATTTAATCAGCTATTACATAGTAATTATTCATATGGGGATGGCATTTTATTTGTTCAATCTATAGAGCTGATCAATAGCTTTAAAACAATATGAGGACCATTTCTGTGCTGCTTATATTAAGGTATATATAGCCAGTCAAAATCATAGTCCCCGCCAAAAAGACTTAAAATTTTGTTCACTTAAATCTCCCTCAATATTGATCCAAGACACGCCCAATTTCAGTTTCGTTAAAATCCATGACGATGAGGTCCGAAAGTGTGATGATTTGACATGGAATGACCCCCAAGTTTTTCTGTAATCCTGTCTCCTTATTTGAGATTTTTTGGTTCCTCTCATCTGTTTCCTTCCAACCTTCTTCCTTCCCCATTTCCTGCACCATTCTGTATAAGTAATGTAATAAGTGCCGCACACATTTGTCAAGTGCCTTGAGGGGGACTGTGTTGTGAAAGGCGCTATATAAAAATAAGTCGAATTGAATAATAATACATCGTGCATCTCTCTGCTTCTCTCTCTGCCAGACTTGATGGTGCTGGGTGGCTTGGATCTGTGCGTGTCTCGGTGCCTGTCACATGCCCAGGGTGGGATCAGGTGGAGGGCCGCTCAGCTTTTAGCTTCCTGTGCCCAGAACATGGCCGAGGTGCAGTGCTACTTACTCCGCCAGGGCACCTTGGCAACGCTGCTGCAGCTCATAGACTGTGACCCCCACCCTACCGTCAAAGTGAAGGCGCTGTACGCTGTGTCCTGTAAGTACGTGTCTCAGTGTGTGTGTGCCAGAATGTCCCCAAGCCAAGGCATCATGCTGTCTCTCCGTGCCCACATAGGTCTGGTCCGGGAACAGGAAGAAGGTCTGCGTGTCTTCCTATCACATGACGGCTTCTCTGTGCTGATGAGAGGGATGCAGTCAGACAGCGAGAAGCTGAGAACCAAGTCTGCATTCCTGCTGCTGAACCTGTTGAGTGCACACCCGGAGCACAGAGGTGCCGTATGCATGCATGCAGGCATGCATGTGTGTGTGTTCGTGCTGTGCTTGCATGTGTGCATGGTGTGCATGTTGT